TTATAGAACATGTGTATTCCAAGGTAACCAGGGAGCACAGAATCAGTAGAGAATGGTCTATGCTTCATCCTTGATGCTTTTATCTTTCTCTTGCTCCTTCAATCACTTCCATATCAAAATTCCTTTCTAACAGACATCTTGGGCTCTGTTGTCACCTCCCTGGTCATCTATTACTGGAACTTCTTGGCTTCTCTTTCATGTCAGTTATCATATACATGTCCATAGTATGCTCCTGGCCCCTAGTTTTCATCCAAGATTGTATTTTTACTGAATGTCTAAACAACCCTTACTAATAATGCCTCAAAGATCTTTGCCTCTAAATTTGACTACTTTTCTAAACTAGTAGGATGTCTTAATCCCCTCCCTAGATATTGAGCATCACTATAAACTCAAGTTCAAATCCAAATTGAATTTGCACCAAATACAAGCATTTGGTCTTCTCATTGGCATTACCCTTGCATGGGTCCCCAAAGAAAAACAGAAAACCCCAACACAAGATCAAATATTGCATTAGTCTCATCAGTTTTCTCCTCCCTAAAGCCAATGTGAGCAGCTGCAAATGAATTTCAGCCCTCTGGGGTATCTCACAAGCATTCCAAAAGTTATACATCTAGCTCAATAAATGTCCTAGATGCAGTCCTCTTCAGGATTCCTCAATTCCTTAGACTTAACCTGTGCTTTGTTAATACTCTACCATAAATAGACTCCAACATGTTAACTGTCTGTATCCTACACACACACACACACACACACACACACACACACACACACAGAACTCATTAGACTAGATATAATGTGATAAATATCCTGTATATGCCAGTTACTTTGTAATTACACAGGTGACTGTAAACTTATTAGGAGGAAAATCTTTCCGATTCACCTTTTATCCCTACTTTTCTAATCCCAGACTATTGAGTGTACTTAGCTCATACCCTGATGTTCTGACTGAATAGAGAAGTCAGCATAGTCTGATGGTTTATGTGGCATTTGAAAGGCTACAATCCCCCAGCACTTGGAAGGCAGAGGCAGGAGGATCTCTGTGAGTTAGTGGCCATCCTGGTCTACAGAGTGAGTTCCAGGACAGCCAAGGCTACACAGAGAAACCGTCTCAAAAAAAAAAAAAAAAAAAAAAAAGACTGGAATCCATGTTTACGTGAATGAAAGACTGGAATTGATGCTTGCAGGAATGAAAGACTGGAATCCATGATTTCATGAAAACACAGTAAAGGAGTAATAGATGTGAAATTGCTTTGGAAAGAAAGAACAATGAAGAACAGGAAGCTGGAAAGGAATCTTCAAGGGAATTGAAGGGTGAGCATGTAGACGATATTAATGAGCACAATATAGAAAGACAAGGCATGGGATGGACAAGTGGGATTTCTCTCTTGATGTACTGAATGATGATGAAGAGAGCCTGAAAGGCACAGAGCAGAAGTGAATTTTGCAAGGAAGGAAGGAAGGAAAGAAGGAAGGAAGGAAGGAAGGAAGGAAGGAAGGAAGGAAGGAAGGAAAAACCAAGGCTTTGGCCAGGGACCATGCACCTCAGAAGACAGAAGTTGGTGTAGTAGTAGATCTCAGTGTTTGACAGAACAATGGGGAGTGAAAGGAAGATTGATTCTTTGGTACAAAAGAAAGCAACATTAACCTATCTTGACAAATTAAAGCACACAATTAGGCAGGAAATTAGGTAATAAAAATATGGAGAGATGGATCTTACAGGGTAGGGGAGAAAAGGGAGAATGTTTCACTAGAGCAAATGGAAAATGCAGAAGAAACATAAGCTAGGCCTGAGAACAAATGAAATGGAAATTGGGACTACATAAGTGAAAAGTTGGTGATTACACTAAGGCTCTGAATAGGACTCCCTCGCCCAGACAAAAGGAAATGTAAGTAGGCAAAGCACACACAACACACAGCACAGCATGCACAACACAGCATACACAGAACACAGAACACAGAACACACAGCACAGCACACAACTCACAGCACAACACACACAGTGCACATGGCACAGCACATAACACACAACACGCACAGCACACACAGTACAGTCAACAGGAGACAACTGTTACAAGGCCTCTGTCAGGATTGTGACTCAGCCTCACCAATTTTCCCACATATCTCTCTGACTGCTTCTGAGCTCTATTCATGAACTTCTAATTGTTTTCAGAATTTGTCTATTTAAATAACCCATGGACTCTCCCAAGTTCAAACCCATGTTCTGCTTTATCTAACCTCCCTATTTCCATCAGCCTCAAAGACCTCTCTGACTTGCACTGTACTTAGCTGAAAACAAAATCCTTTCTCTTCCAAAAATATCCATGTTCTAACACCTGGAAGCAAAAATGACAGCTTTTGTGATAAAATAAGACTCCAGGTACATGCAATTAAGAGAACTGGGATGGGAGATTTCTCACTAAATTATTCAGACAGGTCGTAAACATGATTGCTCCTATCCTGCACAAGGGTTGGTTGAATCTGGATATCCCCTGAAGTCTCAGAATGCCTACTGATGTGGTTTTGGGAAAGTGATCATCAGGATCACTTGGACTTCATTGCAATTTGGGGACTTTATTAGAAGTCCCCAATGGGACTTCCCCATGGGAAATAGGACATGGGGCCCAGTTGGAGGAAGCAGATAGCTGCTCTGAGAGGACCATCTCTTACCAGCCCTTTCCTGTCTATTTCTTCCTGCTATCTAGGCACTACAAGGTAAGAAACTTCACTCAGCTAAATGTTCTCAGTGTCATGGTGTTCTGAACATCTCATTACAGACTGCTATCTGTGGAACCAGTCTACCAAGGACTGATAGCTCTGAATGCTTGAATCAAAGTAAATCTCTCCTCTATTTTTTAATGCTATCCTCCAGGATTTGTAGAAGTGAAGAAATGTCTAATGGAGTACATAGAGGGGATAGTTCACACACACACAGGAGAAGACAATATGAACAACAGAGAGCTAGAGATGCTGGGCTTTGTATTTGAAGGAATGCGAACACAGTCAAAGAATACTAGCACCCTGCAGGAGTTGGAAGATGTGAGAGAGGTATTGTCCCCAGAGCACTGGGGAGAAGTGTGGTCTTTCTAACATCTACATTTCAACCAGGGCTATTGACTTTAGATCCTAACCTTCAGAACTGGGCCTGAAGACATTTGTGCTATTGTATGACATCGGTTGTGGTCCCTTGCTTCAGTAGCTACCATGAACTCCTTACTATGCTATTCCTGGCCTCATTTCCCATAACTATGTGTAGGATGTATCTCCCAGGAAACCAAGAAAAGCAGGGTGACATTAACTTACCATGATGAAACCCCTTGCCAGCCTGGAACTTGGAAAGATAGCTAAGCCTTTAGTATCTCATTTGCTCTATTAATAAAGAGAAGATTTTATATAATATTTGAGGAGTTGAAAAAAAACACTAAATATGTATTGCATTCCCCTCTGTCCTACATGATCAATAATCAGATATACTTACCAATTTCTATGAAGGTGTCTTTCTTTTGGTCCCTTCATCTGTTACTTTTCTGGTCCATTCTTCCTAATGTCCCCATATCACTATTTCTCTGTAGTATATGTACTGTTACTCATGCCTCACAGCAACTTGGGACATGTACCTGTACCCAGATTCCAACTAGAAAGCTCCACCATGCTCAGCCCCTTTACTCACTGAACCCTATCTACACACTTCAACTCCAGAAACACTGCCTGTATGAACCCTTGTCAATGCCACAAAACACCTCATTAGTTTTGCTTCTATTTTTTGTCAAATGAGCGCCAGTCTTGGTCACTATGTTCCATTCAATATCTTTAATTTCTCTTTTGTGTCTGTCTCAGTTAGGGTTCCTATTGCTGTGAAGAGACACTGTTACCACAACTCTTATAAAGGAAAACATTTAAAATTGTGCCTGGCTTATAGTTTCAGAGGTTCAGTTCATGATCATCATGGTGAGACATAGTAGCATGCAGGCAGACATGGTGCTACAGAAATAGACGAGGGTCCTACATCTTGCAAGCAACAGGAAGTGATCTGTGACAGTGGGTTGTAGCTTGAGCATACGAAACCTCAAAGCCCTACTCCATAGTGACACACTTTTTCCAGCAAGACCACACATACTCTAACAAGGCCATGCCTCATTATAGCGCCACTCTCTTTGGGGGATTTTTTTTCAAACCACCACAATGCCTTTTGCTAATTCAAAGGATATGTTTTACTAAATCAATGCCCAGAGACCCTCTATTCCAGTGATTGCTTGTTCCCTTCTACTTACATGTTGTAAGTATTTTCTGTCACATCTATTATTTAATGCTATGTATTTCCTGTTACATCTATTTATCAACAGTTCAAGCACTTCTATTCTTCCACCAACACAGGAGCTACTTTATCAGTGATTCATTTGTCTGTGAGGATTTAAGTGGAATATGGTTCAGAGAAAGATCATACGCTACTCTTAAGCTATTTGGCCTCTAACACACATCCCTGTTCCTCCCCCATATGCCTTTTATCCTGCTCAAGAATGTGCTAGAAACTGAAACAGCAATTTGGACCCATTTGCCTGGAAAAGACATGTGCCCCGTAGTTTATCATCTTTTTCTTCTCTTGCAAACTGTGTTGCTATGATCACATCTGAATGTAGGACCTGATGTCTAGCATTAGACAGAGAGGAAAATCTCTTCAAGTCAGCTTATTAAAAGTTTCCCTATTGAGGCAAAACACTCTCTCAGCTTTTAAAAACAATAACTGTTTTATTTTCCATTAACCAACATTACCCAGAAACAAATATGGAAGATAGATACAACAAAGAAAAAGAATGATAGAGTGGGCCGAGAGAGAGAGAGAAAGAGAGAGAGAGAGAGAGAGAGAGAGAGAGAGAGAGAGATGAATTACACCTGTGTTTATACATTGCAGTTATAAAATATATAAAATATATTTTTAAAACAATATAAAAGTCATTGTGGTATAAGTGCTGAAGGCTTAAAAAGTCATTCAACTCATCCCACAGACTGAAGAGGACACCTCAGATTGGAAATTTGTTATGCTCTGTGTGTACTGGGAGAAAGCCACAGTTAAGAGACATCTCAAGAAAGGACTCGACATCTGAATCTGTGTGTGGTGACACATAGCTGTAATCCAGAATTTTGGAGTTGGAGACAGGAAGATGAGAGTGAGTTCAAGGCCAACCTTGGCTATATAGTAAGTTCCAGGCTTGCCTGGATTTGTGGGAACTGATCCAAGAAAACAGAAAGAAACATAAAATCCAAGTAACATAGGAAGTGGCCTGTGAAGACTGACAGCATCTTACTTGGAATGCTGAAACAAAGAACTTTTTGGCAGAATAAAAACATAAGAACACCACTTTGAAGCATATTGCATGCTAATAGGTGCTTAGAAAATAGAATATGTATCTTTTGTTGGTTTATAGGTAAACAGTTTCTACCATAACAGAAACTAAAAGAACACTGCAAATCAGTGGGATGAGTGCATGTTTACTCTCATGCACATGCTACTTGTTTATGATGTCTGAAATAAGTACATTTTTTCATTTCTGTCCTTTAATTCACCAACCTTAACACATATTCAATAGCTGCAAATATTTGAGAAATATATTAAACAAAAACCTCTATTTTAAATGACTGGTGGATATTGAGAAGATGGCTCAATGTGTAAAGAGTTAATGAATAGCATGAGGACCCAAGTTTGCATCACCAGAACACATGCAAAACCAGACATAGCAGCACCTGTCACCAAACCCAGTGCTGGGGAGGGGGCACTGAATCAGTTGGAAGCTGGGAGCCCAGTATCTGGCAAGAAGTCTGGCCAAAAAAACAATTTCTAGTCTCAGTGAAAGACCCAGATTCAAAAAGTGTAGTGGAACAAGATAGTGGTACACACCTGACATTGATCCCCAGGTAATTTATTGAAAGATAAATGAAAAAAAAAAAAAAACAAGTCATGGGATTTTGGGATTTCTCACCTTAAACCAGACAGTAGAAGCTCATATTTCTTAAAGGGATTGTTACACACTTCATAATACCTTATAAAATTTGCTGGGCATTTAGCAAGGAATGGGGCATATCTCAGTAGTTATACAACGTGGGTGATGTATGTGTATGATAATAATTACTTTCTTCTGATTTAAAAAATATCTAAATGAAACACTTTCACGAGCTTCTAAGTGCCACAGTATTTCCCCTGCTTCCTTCATGCATAATTGGCCCCACCCTTGTGCTTTCGAGTAACATGTGATTATTTCTGTATATGCAGCATTGACTTCCAGGGAAAGGGCTTTAAGCTGGGAAGCTTTCAAGCCCCTTCATGGTGGCATTCTGACCCAAAGTTTCCATAATAACAAGTAATCCTGTGGAGCCTTCAGGAGAAGACTGCTCAAGAATCTACTAGGTGACTGTTGACTGCATCTGATGGCTACCATTCTTCAGTCTGACTAATTGTGATTCCTACTTTTTCCAGAGATAAAGCCCTGCTATTATTGTTACACCTAAATGTTCCTGTTTTTCATGAAGCAGTAAGGTACAAAGCTAAAAAAAAAATGGGTAATGGGGAACTCTGGAGACTTGTTTCCATTTTCAAAGTTTCCTTTGTTGATTAGCACTATTTTTAGACATGGGTGTGTGAGGGGTATGTGTGTGTGGCATGAGCAGCACTCTGAAAAGAATCATAAATTGAGGCTTTTTTCCTGCTTCTTTCTGAGACAACTGAAGAGGAGTCAGGTCTCTGTCCTGTTACCTGAAATATACACATCTATGTCTATTAGGAACTGGAGATGATGGTGTTGTACACCTACCAGTGTGAGTGAGATTTGCTAGTATTCTTACCACCACATGGCTCTGCCTCTGAAATTCATAGTGATGTAAATTGAAAACTACAAAAGCATATGGCTTGAACAATGCTCTTGGCCAACCCTGGTTTTGATGCGATTCATTTCACAGACTCAGTTTATTAGTCCTTAAATGGTCTCACGGTCAAGGTGACCATCAAAAATGTCACCTTAAGAGAGAAGGTACAGGCATAATTTTCTTAGATGATTTTTTCCTACTCTGCCATGTGGCTGGCATAAAGCACTGAATTCTGAGTGCCTTGATAATACATGCAACAAGTGTATGTTTCCTTAACATGTGGTATCACCAGACATTTCCCAGAGTTTATGAAAGCAGTCATCTCTGTGGCAGCCTTAAATTAAGTTTCTTTAAGGTTGTGACCACTTGCTTTGACCTTCCCTGGAGGTATCTGCAGCAGACATTTGGAGAACTGGTGTGCATGAGAACAGCAAGGCTGTTCAGAAGGTTCTGGGTTACCAAGAGCTGCTGACCATCCAGTAGCTGTGTAAACCTTTGCCACAGGAACACTGAGGATCAGCTTTATGGAAAATGTGGGGCTCATTCCTTATTCTGCTCTATTGGGATCTCACTTAATGCTGCACTTAAACCTATTTTTTAAAAATTATCCATGAGAATAATAATCATGTTCATTTACATGCACGTATGCAAGTGTGATTTTTTTTTTTGGAAACTTGATTTTTATTGCAGAGTAACAACTAATCTAATTGAAAATGGTATTGTCACCATTCACAGGGAACTCCAAAATCTAGGTACCAGCCAGAATTCTGTTAGGTAGCTGCTGCCTGGACCAACAGCTTCCCTACTCCAATATGTGTAAGTATGGAACTTTTTATTATTTCTGGTTGTCTCCTCAAAACAGAATACATATTATGTGTACTTGAGGAGCAAAACAAGCAACACTGCAGAGAAACATTAAGTATCTGATGAGGTGCTTTTGTTCAGAGAAGAGGAACAAACATTGAATGATAGAAGTTCCAGAGAGCAGCATCTGCTTGTAAATGATTCAGTTAGGATAACAGCTAGTTTACCCAGAGTTCACGTCAGATGTGTCAGGTTCCTTCAGAGGGACTTCCCCATTTTCAAATGTCAGTGACATTCCACTACAGGTCATTCTTTTGGAATGTGGCATGTTTAGATGATCAGAGTGGCCATGGAGGCCACTTTCCAAGGGCATTTCCAGTCCTTCCTTCTCTCTGACAGAAGGAAACACATTTGTGCTGCCCCATCGGCCCTGGGATCTACGGAGTTCTACTGAAGTGCAAGGCAACCGTGAGTCAGCAATGTGGACTGCTAAAATAGTAACTGGCCCGATGATGTTGTAATATGAAGTATGAAGTATGAAAGAGGAAGGAGGAGGAAGAATAAAACAAGAAAATCCCCAGGGCATCCACCCTCACCTCTCACTCATACTGGAAGATTTGATCAAGAATGTGGAATACATAGCTACATTTAACTTTCAGTTTAAAAAGCCATGCAATATTATTAATAACCAGAGGCATGTTAATGCTCCTGCCATTCTCATATCCTCCATGAAGATGACCTGGGTCTCTCCCCATTGAGTCCAATGGCAAAAATAATAAAAGTTAGCAATATCCATAAAGACCTCCATACTTTTGAGAGAACTTTTCATATACATTAATGTTTTAAAGTTTATAATTATTAGTTTCAGGAAATTTTGATATTACTGTGCCTAATTGATTGATGGAACTAGTTTTTTTTCCCCAAAATCAAAGTACTTATTCATTTAAGTAATTGATGGAATTGGAGTTAAAGCTTTTATATCATCACACTACCACCCCAATGTATATTGTATTCCTTTGGTTAAAATAGAAATCACACACTTATTTTGCAGACTGCACTTAATATTGTTTTGCCTCAAGGCTGTTGTTCAATAACACATTTATTTATCTGAATTTCATGAAAAACAACTATTCATTCATGAGAATATAGATTAACTTCAGTCCATCTTGTATACTACATTACTTCAAGGTACAGAACAACTGTGATTTTGCCCAGTGTATTTTCTAAGGGAGATGTACTAAGTTGTAGTAATCAATTGAGAATGAAGTCCAGGTACCTATTTTTAAAACTTGGTGCACTGTGAGCCTGTTTCCATCCAATGTTTCTTGTGGTTTCATTATATCTAAGCCTCAGAAACCCCATGAATTAGACACACGCCTTGAAGAGATGTGTGTAATACTAAGTGATGCCTGAAACAAAAAAGTATTTTCCAAACTTCAAATCTCTCTCTCTCTCTCTCTCTCTCTCTCTCTCTCTCTCTCTCTCTCTCTCTCTCTGTGTGTGTGTGTGTGTGTGTGTGTGTGTGCAGTACATGTTATGTATGCTTATGTGCATATGTTTCTCTGACAGTATGTGTACCTATAGAGGAAAAAGTTTGATGTATGGTGTCATTATCTATTACTATATATATTTTTTATTTAAATTAGAAACAAGATTGTTTTACATGTCAGTCCAAGTTCCCTCTCCCCCCTCTCCTTCTCTGCCCTCTACTAATGCCCTACATATCCCCTACCATTTCTTCTCCTCAGGGACAGTGATGTCTTCCATGGGGGTCTTTAGAGTCTGTCATACCCTTTGTGATAGGGCTTAGGGCCTCCCCTGTGCCTCTAGGCTGAGGCAGTATCCCTCTATGTTAAATGGGCTCCCAAAGCCCATTCCTATGCTAGGGATAAGTATTGATCTACTACAAGAGGCCCCATAGATTTCTGAGGCCTCCTCACTGACACCCACATACAGAGGTCTGGATCAGTTCCATGCTGGTTTCTCAGTGATCAGTCTGGGGGCCAAGAACTCCCCCTTGTTCAGGTCAGCTGTTTCTGTGGGTTTCACCAGCCTGGTCTTGACCCCTTTTCTCATAAGTCCTCCTTCTCTGCAACTGGATTCCAGTTCAGTTCAGTGTTTAGCTGTGGGTATCTGCTTCCATCAGCTGCTGGATGCAGACTCTATGATGGCATACAAGTTAGTCATCAATCTCATTATCAGGGGAGGGCATCACCATCCTTCACTTCAAGGCCTATTATAGAGCTATATAGATTCATGTCTATTGCCATGGACACAACTTAAGTCCAAATGGATGAAAGACCTCAACATCAATCCAGCTACACCGAACCGCTTAGGGAAGAAAGTACCCTTGAATGAATTGGTACAGGAGACAGCTTCCTGAACATTACACATGTAGCACAAATACTGAAATCTACAATTAATAAATGAAACTGAGAAGCTTCTGTAAGGCAAAGGACACAGTCAGCAAGACAAAACGGCAGCCCACCGAATGGGAAAAGATAGTCACCAACCCATATCCAACAGAGGGCTGATCTCCAAAATTTACAAAGAACTCAAGAAGCTAGTTTCTAAAACACCAAATAATCCAATTTAGAAGTGGGGTACAGACCTAATAGAGAATTCTCAATAATAGAATCTAAAAATGGCTGAAAGACACATAAGAAAGTGGTCAACATCCTTAGCCATCAGGGAAATGCTAATCAAAACAACTCTGAGATACCATCTTACTCCAGTCAGAATGGCTAAAATAAAAACACCAATGATAACTTATGCTGGATAGTATGTGGAGAAAGGGGAACACTCCTCCATTGCTGGTGGGAGTGCAAACTTGTACAGCCAGTTTGGAAATCAGTTTGGTGATCCTCAGGAAAATGGGAATCAGTCTACTATAAGATCTAGCAATTCCACTCTTAGGCATACACCCAAAAGAAGCACAATTCATACAACAAGGACATCTGTTCAATGGTGTTCATAGCAGCATTAATTGTAATATCCAGTACCTGGAAGCAACCTAGATGCCCCTCAACTGAAGAATGGAGTATTACTCTGGGGGAAAAAACAATGGAATCTTGAAATTCGCAGGCAAATGATGGAACTAGAAGAAATCATTCTGAGTGAGGCAACCCAGCCACAAAAGGACAAACATGGTATGTACTCACTGTGGATTTTACACATAGAGCAAAGGATTACCAGCCTACATTCCAAATCATTAGAGAAGTTAGGCAACAAGGAGGACTCTAAGAGTGACATACATGGTCCCCCGGAGAAGGGGAAAGGGACAAGATCTCCTGAGTTACTTGGGAACATGGGGGGAGGGGAGAGGAAACAAGGAGAATGAGAAGGGGAGAAGAGGAGGGGTGAGGAGGACATAAGGGAGCAGGAAGTTTGTGTGTGGGGGGAATAGAGAAGAGCAAATTAAGAGATACCATCAGAGAAGGGGCCAGTACAGGTTTAAAGAGAAATCAGGCACTAAGGAAATGTCCAGAGATCTACAAGGATGACACAATCTTCAAATATTAATCTTATATCTCAGCTTAGAGCTAGTATTTGTATGGTATCTAAGTCTTTTAAAAGATATGTTAAAGCTCAATAAGTCTGAGCATCCTCTGTGTTATTGGGTCTTGGTTTCTAATATTTAAAACCCAAGTCCCCATAGGTATATCCAATGATGGAAAGTAATCAAAATGGGCAGGAATTACAAGGTTCCCTTCAGCAGGCTCTGCTGCATTTGCCTAGATATTGTTTGTTTATGCAATATGGGGCTGAAGGAAAGCTTGCTTTGTCTAAGAACATAACGCTGGATAAACTCAGCTCCTGGCCCATTTTCTACCTGCTCTCTTTATCCAGAGTTAGCTCAGTGCTCTCAATTCAGCAAGACTTGGAATTCCTAATTCAATGAGCAAGACTGGCACAGTCCTAGACAGTCCCATTCTGTAGCTACAGGCCCAGAAAGAAAAGAAGATGTCTTAGTTGTGAATCTGATATCAGTTTCATATTATGCCTCTACCCTGAGACCTTGAACAATCCACTTGACTGCTGAATCATCAATATTCTCTTTTGTACAGGAAGTCTAATAATTGTGACCATAGAATTATGACAATGTTGAAATAAAATGCCACTTGAATATTCACCTGCTTAAAGAATATCCCACACAATTGCATGCATGATGATTATTCCTAAGTCATTTGTAGAACATCTACCTCATAGCATGGGGAACAAAGCCATATTCCACTCTTTGTTGATGAGACCAGGTAACACAGACATCAATCATTTAAGAGTTTATCCAGTTGATTCTAATATGAAGCCATTATTGGCAATGAAAACTCCAGAGCAAGAATGATATAAAAATATGTAGATAACTTCCAGACACCCACCAATCAGAAAACATTCTGTCAGCAAAGAACCATGTGGTGAATGTCAATGACTATCAGCCAACACTCAGGCAGGAAAATAAATTTCTTGGTCAAATAAGTTATGTTATTCTTCATGATTATTTCAGAACTTGAAAGGTCATACAATTAAAAATAAACTTCAAATCATAAATCTTTCCAGATAAACAGCCTATGGAATCTTTTGTCCACTCACACAATTAATGGAAATACTGAAAGAAAAGGAAACACCACCAGTATGGAAAATTTTCTGACTATAATGAGTACCTAGACTGTGGTTCTACTGCTTTGCCTATATGTCCACCTTTAGCATTCTAACTCTAGGAAATTTAAATGTGGATAAAATCTGCAGGTGTTCTATTGTCTTTGGTGTAGAGCCAACCTTGTGAATATGAACTAGCATTCCTGTGGCTGGCAAAAGAGATGGTAGCTAGAGTGTGCTGACCTAGTCAAATAAACTCTCATCTAAAAATATTTATTTCTTTGAGAATTTTATATAACATTTTTATCATATTAATCCTCCACTTCTCCTACCTTCTCACAGACTCACCTTGTCATTCCTACCCACTCAACTTCATGTCCTCATGTTCATGGTCTGAGTCATCTGAATAATTCAGCAAGTTTTACTGGCTGGCAAAAGAGAAATAAATTAAAATGACCATGCTTCCTATGGCTTCCATTCCACCACAGCTATGTAGACAGCTGCTTGGAAAGAAGTGACTTCTTGGAGTTAAGTATAGTCCCTAGGCAACAGCTGTCAGTAAAATAGTCATCTCAGACCTACAAACACAAGAACTCAAATTCTACCGACTAGACAAAACTTGAAGGGAGGATCCAACCCTGTCTTAGTATGCAACTCTGTTGTATATTATTTTAATGTTTCTATTCAAAGCCATCCACTACTCCCTGATGCAGGATGTAGGATGTAGGATGATGAATGAGAGGTTGCAATATGAGAATGGTCTGTTTCTAAAGGGAAAGAGGATATCAACTGCTTTTAGGAAGAATTAATTCACAAGGTCTTGTAATGATAAAAGATCAGTGAGAAACCAAGAAAACTACATAAAATTAACTATGTAAATGCAGATCCTTCTTTGGTTTGGAAAACAAAGGTTCCACTATAAGCAAGATGCTTAAGGCTTTAAGATAAAACCACACAACAATGAGAGGCAGATAATTATAGGGAGAATGCTTGGAAGCAAAGCATCATCATGGTCTTTTCCCAGCTATGCTGTTCAACAGTCACATAACACCACAATTCAGTGACTGAATTTAGGTGATGAATTGTTCTTTCTTCCAGTTATGTTATACCAGACATATTCTGTGTTCCAGAATTATTCTAAAGCTAGGGGTACAGTAGAGAACAAGGTATGCAAAGATTTGGTCCTCAAAGGGTTTGCATCATGGTGTGCTGACAATGATTCCACCAATCACTGTAGCTCCACATAGAGGAGTCATGGTGAAGACAGGTATGTTGTAGAGGGGGAGTCAGGGATAGTATCTTGGAAAGATGATATTCTTGTGTTGATATGAGACATGAATTGAGACTGGCTGGTAGGTTGAATGCCATACTCAAAGAGGAAAACAAGATTCAGAGAAGGCCTGAAGAATTTTGGCCTAAGAATTTGAGTGCTGGCTTATGACATTTGTTTTATCAGAAGCACTGTGGGAGGAGTACTTTTGCAGAAATGTCAGAGTTCATTCTGGGACATGTATGCTTAATGTGCCGATGATCAAAGGGAAGATTATGAATCGGCTGTTCTACTGGAGACTGGACTTGTCATAGCTATAAAATGCCATGTGTTGAATTGTATCATCTGTGGTCCTCTCCAATTCCACCAGTCCATGATTCCATGAACTAGAAATAAAAGCTAAAGAAAAGAAAATACACACTAAAAGAGGGGAGAAATATGAAATAAAATCAAATATATTATGTTCAAAAAATGGAGAAAGGTCACTTAGGAGACAAAAATAACTGGCCAACAACAAAGGGGATCTCAGTTAAGATGGGTGAA